TGCACACAGGACGCGGTAATGCTTGCCGCGCGGCAGAAGTCCGCGCGACATTCAATCAATATGTTTTTCCGTAAGAGCTAGAAGATTATTATGGAAAGCAGCATATTGATTGACTGTCGCGCGAATTTCCGCCGCGCGGTAAGCATTACCGCGTCCTGTGTGCAGGAGCCATTACGGTTAGGACCCTCACACATGAAATGACATAACTGCATGTGCATAGCATGAGCTGTATGGACCAATGAGCATCAAGTATTGAGCATCAAGCATCAATATAGCGACTAAATACTCGATGCTCATTGGTCCATACGATCTTATGCTATGCATATGCGTTTATGTAATTTTGTGTGTGATGGCCTTTAGAGCGAGAAAATATATACTTGTCTCACTTTAACTCATTGCACCAGTTCAGCAGTGCAGCTGAAAAGAACAGACTACAACTGTCATGTATATATGACGCTGTCAGATATATGATTTATGCGATCGGTATCAGATGATAGTCACTTCTATATTACTTGTGCGCACTTCCTTTATGAGACGTTAGAAAGTAGCTGCGTTTAGTGGAACAAAACGATCAGTGAGCAGTCAGTGGCTATTGATCTTTATGTTAGATCCTTAAATCTAGATTGATTACGTTGACAAGTTACTTGTGCAAGTATTGTGTTCGCTGAACGCATCCAGATTTACTGTTATTTATCGCGAATCGCATGCAGTTTTGTTCTTCACAATTTTTTTCGCGATGACCAACGTAACACGCTTACCGGACGATGTAATCTGTCTGATTCTGGAGAGCAAGAACATTAGCATAAAAGATGTCGTGAATTTTAGCTTAACTTGCAAGCTATTCTACATGTCTATTAACAACAACAACGCCCTATGGAGAAACAAGTTTTTTCAGAGGTAGTGTACTCATTCCTAATAATGACAACTTAAAATATGCTCTTCAAGTATTGTGTAATGGTTGTATGTTTTATATGCGAAGAAAGAAGTAAAGAAGTACATTCCTATATTTTGTACAAATTTTAATAGCTGTGTAAAGTAGTATATATATAATTGCATTAGTGTTCTATAGTATTGTACTAGTTGCATTAATTATAGATGGCCTGCTTTAAAGACAATTTGTAACAAACATTGGTGCGATGGAAATACAAATGTTAGGGAAGAAGTAATGGAACGAGTAAAATGTAGACAAAAATTATTGGATTATATTTCGGAGTTATACAACAGGAATTACTATAAAGGAGATCTAAGTTTCAGTGATATGTTGAACTTTAAGCACATATTCTGCATAGAAGGAGTACATACATATCCTTTGAAATTTTACTACCTTGAAGATGAAGTAAATGAGATTCTTCGAGGTAATGAATGGTAAGATCTAATAAGCTACTTTTATAAGTTAATATAGTTTTGTTACTCACCAATACATATATCTTTCAGGAATAGGCATACTAACTTGAGAAATAAATATTACGCCCGAAAGATTTTTATGTACCTGAGAGAGTGTCACTTACGAAGTAAGTGGCAGAAATTTATAAGTCAACCTGCTGCACAACATGTTTCAGAATGGACAGCAACTTTTATGGCACAATGGTGCAAACCTCAAGAACATGTGTCTTATTCACATGTAGCAGCATCATTGGACAATATTGCACAGCAAGCATTAGAAATACTTCAAAATGAATATCCTAACCATTCGATATTTTCGGTGTCTCCGGAAAAACTTTCTTTCTGGAGAATCAATATGAATAATGACAATCAATGGGACAAAACAGAAACAAAGCAGATTTTAGAGGTTATTTGCAGGGTTATGTTTCACGATTTAGATTTTCGTGTATTTAGCAACTCTGAACGAGCTAGTTCAAATTATAAGAACTTTATAGATAATGTAGGTATATTTATCCTGCAAATATGGTTATGCTTGCGCTTGATCTGTACATTAATATTTTCTCATTGTTCTTTTTATAATATAGGTTTTAGAAGATAAGCGTGGTGATATTTTAATGCTGACAATAATATTTGAAAGTGTGGCAAGAAGACTGGGTGTACCATGCGATTATTTCACTTTTTCAAATTACTTCTCCTTGGTTTGGAAAGAGAAATGGTAAGTATAATTATAATTTTAGAACTACTTTTTATACTTTTTATCTACATAATCATATATATGTTTTCTTTCTTGTTCATAGTTATGAGGCATCACTTGAAAGTGAAAATTATTATTATATTGACATTTTTTCCAATGGGACTATTTTAAACAAAGTACAATGTCCCAGATTTTATACTGATATTGCACGTTACATAACGTGTCCTTTAAAGAACTGCAAAGTACCCAAACCAACTCCAGCACAGGTTAGTAATTATATATCGTATTTAATACACATAACCACAGGTTTTTGCAAAGATGTGTTAAACCAATAAAGCACGTTTTATTAGGAAGTTGCAGATATCTGTCAAATTTTTAACTATAGCTTTCTTTTGTTAGTAGTAATTTCATGTTCAATCAAAATTTTTGTCATCTTTATCTACTACTTTTTGCTACCTTTCAGGTAATTGTTTAATTCTATATTTGAGAAATGATTTCTCCTTTGATTTCATGAAATAATTTATTACTCGATGAACTTTTGCAAGCTTATAATATAAATGTTTGATAAAGAAATGTAAACAATTTTTTTGTTTCATTCGCAATTTTGACCTTATTTCAATATCTGGTGTTTGCTTTACAAGTTGATAGTACGGCTGTTAAACTATGTGCACTTTACGTGCAAAGAAAATGACAGAAAGAAAGCAGAAAGGAGTCGATTGATACAGGAGCTCCGACATATGGTAAATCCAGAAGATTTGGAAGGAGTTTCATGGCTAATTGGTATTTATTTATCATATAGAATGGATGTAACGAATATCGTGACGTCATTACGAAGTATACAGGTATGTGAGTTTATAAGTGTTCTTATGGAATAAGCGCTCACTCGTGTATATTGATGCGTTAATGATTATGATTATACAACTTTAATTTTTCTAGAAATATCTTCAAGCAGATATTATGTAATTGCAGGATATGGACACAAATTCGTTGGAGATAAAGGCAAGAGCTAAAGTGGTATTAGATAGGCTTGAAAAGATACAAAAGAAAATGCATCCGGTACTATACTGTTTTAATTTATGTATTTTCTTATTATTCAGTTGCATCATTATATAATGTATTTGTTATTGGATATATTTAAATTACCTAATTTGCAATCTTACAAAGAATTTCCCAATAGTATGTGCTATTTACTCTTAAATTTTATTTTCAATCAGTGATACAAATAATCAACACTTTTTTCAGAATGTGATAGTACCAAAAGAGAGGTCGAAATACGTGAACTATGCAGTTGGAATGATCGTGGAATTCGATGACTATACATGCGAACCTACACGCATAGGCGTGATAGTGGGATGGGGTAGGGATGTATCGTCCGAGCGAATTAGATTATATAATCAGGATCGACAACATTATAGAATAACGAGAACAATACCGCACTATGAGGTATTCTTTGGCGACGATAAAACCTTTTACCTTCCTCAAGGTATGATTGAATTGTCAAATGCTTACGCATATTCTACGATACCGATTGTCTAGCGTAAAACATGCAAAATTTTATTTCAGTTTGTATAAATCCAGCGAAAAAACCGACGTGGATCGATCACAGTGAGATCGGCCGATACTTTAGTCATTTTCAAGGAACTCACTATACTCCAAATCAAAAGTTGCTGGAAGAATATCCAGACGATTTTGCGGTTTTAAAGGAATATTGCGATCGTTATGCATAGAATCAGAACGTAGGAACGTTCGTAAGTTAAAACCGTTCCAAGGTTAATATACAGTCGAAGGAAAAATATGAAAAAAGGACTTCACCATTCTGATATGAAGATTTGGTAATTATGTCTAGGTATACATTATTATTATTTATAATGAAATAGGCAATGCGCTAACAGTAAGGCCTGTAGCACATGGAACGTTTGAGCAATAGAATCAATAGAACATAAGCAGTAAATCTGTTGAATAATTAGAACCGAGAATTATAAGAAAAAAAACAAGTGAGATTTGCCATTTTGAGATTCTCAATTATGATTGAGTGATCAGCTCTTTGCTCACGTTTTAATACTTCAGTTTTGACATATACTATCGGTCTAACTGGCAACCAGCGTCTTACATATGTGGATGTGTTATATCTATAATATCAGGGTATCTCCTAACACGAGGAAACTACTTCTGAATTGTCGGAATTCTACGTTGGTAAGAACTTGAGAAAATTCGGACATACATCTGTGCGATTCTTTTTATTCTTATCTCGGTGTTTTGAACATATTTTCTATAATACTTCCCACGTGTTAACTAACGTTCTGCATAAAACGAAAAAATGTGTGGTAAATAATGATATGCAGAAAAAGTATAAGTATAATAAGAAAATTTACAAATTACAATCGAGTATTCTTGGTAAAATATTCGATACATAAGAAGGATCATTAACTGTGATTGGTGAATTTATTTATTTACGTTTTTCTATGTGCTCTTGGCTTAAGCTTGGGAAGGATCTCTATTTCATTTTCTATGTTAAGCCTTTTGTGTCCACGATGTCAGAAATCCGCCTGAGATCTAGATCTGAGAAATAAGCAATCAATATATTTGCGGCTTTTACGGAAAGGCGACAGTTTTATTGGCTACACGTTTCTCGGATCGAGATGTTGGACTGATTTCTAGCATCGTGGACATAAGATTTTGTAAGACAACATCACACATAGGATTTCCTGTATGCAGAGATTAGAACAAAAAAATGTGTGAAAAACAGTTATTTGTATACTCACACAATTCAGTATTATCTTTAGTTACTGAGAATTGGCATTTATGCGTAGTGGCAACAATATATTTTTATTTAAAAGCAATTCGATGTACAAATAGTTATTATTAAATGTAAGGTTTCTTAAGTTAATAAAAAGAGAAACTTTTTACATATCTTTAATAAATATATTTTGTCTATATATGTGTATGCTATATAATTATAAATAAAATATATGTACAAACACATTTGTCTTAAGTGTATATTAGGATTTATGAGTTTATATGTAAGATATGATGTCTGTGTACAGACATAAATTATGAGATGTCATTTATGTAAACAATGAGTAATCTATGGATGTGATTTAAAGAATGTATAGCTCGCTAAAAAATTAATTTAACAAAGTTTACATTTTTATTTAATCTTTAGAGATTCTTGATATAACTTTATGAATGTGTTTCTTAAACAAATTAAATTCTCATTACATTCTTATGTACAAAAAGTTTACTAATCTATCAACCTATAATGAAATAAAAATGTTACGCAATTTATTCTTTTCAAACATTACATTCATAATTAATCTTCAAAACAAATACGGTAACTATCTCATAATTTAATTGCTTTTTTTCGTGTATTTTAATATAAATTGCAGTATTTTACACAATTTACATTGTTTATGTGAGAAACGATCGTGTATACATTGCATGAAAATACGTAAAGCGCTCGTCACACAATTCTCGATTATGTGAATGATTTCATACATGCTGACTAGGGATGGGCAATTATTAATCAATGATTTGAGAATCGATGCTTTTTGTACAAATAATCGATTATTTTCCCGATGTTTTTGGAAATCGATTAATCCCTCTATATCGATAGTTTTTTTTACTTCGATGTTACTAAATTTATTTCGATCTTTACTAGATTTTATTACTAGAGATTTAGGATGCGCCCTTAAATTTACATATAATCATAAAAAGCTGAACAATAATGGTGCTTTCCAGTTACGTTTTGTGTGTTACACAAAACCAGTTTTTTGGTTGTATATTATCTTACAAGATATTTTAGATAATATGTGACCAATAAACTGGTTTTGTGTACGTATGTCTCAAGATGTATTAAGCAATTGAAAAGTACCCTCTGTATCTCGAAACAAAGTGAAAATTACAAAAGTGAGCAAATTTACTAGAATATTCGTAATTTCATTGGTCAGTGCCTAGTGCTCACTTTTGTAATTTTCACTTCATTTCGAGATACAGAATTGACCTCCTGTATGCCGGAGCTACAAGAGCCTATTTCTCTAGTGTATACTACTGCAGAATATGTCCCGAAAAAAAAAAAAACAAATTTATATGGGTGTTATGTGTAGCAATCGGATTGATATAATGGCAATGATGTAAATTGTCTAGAGAGAAAATTCCCTAGGCTAATCGGATTACCAAATCGTGTCCGTGAGGGACGGATCGGATTAGCGGATGCAGAGGAACATTGTGTACATACATCTCCTAAGAAATAAATATTAAGTAAATAGAAAAATAAATATGTGCATTGTTATTTTCATTGGCGATAGATGATTGAATAATTGTGCATGTACTGAATAGTGAGGATACGTAGAAAATCATCTTGGCATGATTTTTAGATTTAGATAGATAGATAGAGAGAGAGAGAGAGAGAGAAAGATAAATCTAAAAACCATGCCAAGATGATTTTCTGCGTATCCTCACTATTCAGTACATGCACAATTATTCTGCTCCAAAGTGAGACGCGAATATCGTAAGATTTTGGAGAACCTCTCGAGCTGCTACCAATGTAGGAAAAACATGATTTTTATCGACGCACAAATAAGTGTAGAGATTTATATTGCTAACTCCATAGATATAGATAATTATAATGAAGTGTTTTATAAAAATACCTATAAATATACAATCAAGAGATACGGTGATTAATATCTACAAGTAGCTCACCATCTCCTAAGTCGAATCTACTTCATCTGAGTATATTCTAGTGTCTTCTCAATCACTCAACTTTTAATTTTTATAACATTATTGTTATATCCAATCGCTCAATGCTTAATTTTTATAACATTATTAGAAATTTATATTTTAATAATATAGATTCGCCAAGTTATTGTAATACAGTGGTATGATGGCTATAATGTATGGAGTAAATTTAGTGTAAGAAATAAGAAATAAAAATAATTTATTTCACTTACACCTATACTCCAACTCCCTTACACCAAGTCTTTCTGTCAAATAAATACTTCTGGTATAAAAGAGTTAGAGTTTACACACGCACGCACGCACACACGCACACACACACACACACACAATGTATCTCATTTATTTATATATATATGTATATATATATAAAATTTATTTTATATATATATGTATATATATATATAAAATTTATTTTATATATATATATGTATGTATGTATATATATATATATATATATATATATATATATATATATATATAAAATAAATTTTTCCTCACTCTTATTCTTACTTCATATGCTAAGCTTACTCCATGTACTGTAGGTGATCTTTTATATGCAATGCTGTTATATACCATTCATAGCATTCAAATGTCAGCACAATATTAACACATAACACATAACTTAGAAACAAGTTATGCATATACATTTGACAGATGTCTGTTATTTATCTACTAGATAGCAGCATTTCAAGAATTGCGACTTTTGTTTTTAAGCAATAATTGTTTCTTTTTAGTATTGAAATTTCCTTCCGTTGTGAGCTAATGCAGCTCATGGCCATTTTCCAATTATGCAAAACTTTCACAGGAGATCGAAGATCATTGATGGTACAAAAACCAATATATTTTGGATACACAGTATAATGCCGTCGTTTTCTTCTTGAAGTTAGAGATTGCTCCCTGTATATACAATAATAGTATTACATTAAGTTAAAAAATACATGCATTATATACATGTACATATATAGTGTAATTTTATACAGTACCTATCAGTATTTTTTATGTTTATCCGACTTTCATCCAGTTTAACATACAGTGATTTTGTATTTGTATCTGATTCAACAGGTTCACTTTTCACTTTTGTATTCAGTCCTTCATTAACTTTAGACTTATCATTTTGACTTTGTTTCGATTGTATTCTTAATTTCATATTTTTCCTTTTCCTGTAAAAAAATTCCAGAAGTTACACTAATGATTTATTTTTCACTATACATGTGCAATTATGCATTATATTAATACAAAGTGTGTAATGGTATCCACTATATTTTTACCAATTACAATGATTGATAGGAAAAAAAATGCAATGAATCAATTTTTAAACGCCTGTAAAACGTGACAATAAAAATTTCAAAAACGTTTTTTTGGAAAATATCAAGGTCATCTTTATCTATTTAAGTGGAACCATATCTTTTTTATCTGTAGTATTGTAAAGAGAATCAAAACAAATTCAATAATAACTCATAATGTTATCATTATTGTTATCTAATAACAAAAAGTAATACAATAAAATAATAATAAATTTCAAAAATATATAACACAAAGTATATATCATATGTTAATGTATAAATAATTACCTAATTCGTTCTCTTACCAGAAAAATAAATCAAAGTATCCTAATTGTAATATAACATATGAAACAACCATTAGAAAGAATATAGTTTTGTGTTTTATAGAAAATGAATTATATTTCAAACATGTCCTAAGAAAAATTATTCATTATTTATTGTATTTCATCTTATGTATTTCATCAAACATTATCATCTCTCTCTTTTATATTTTCACTGTTCAAATGTTAGTAAAAATAACATTATGAGTTAAATTGGTTTTAATTCTTTTTACAATATTATAGATAAAAAAGATATGATTCTATTTAAAAAAGCAAAAATAACTTTAATCTTTCTACAAAAGACATTTTTAAAAGTTTTATAATTGCATCTTATTATTGTTTAAAAACTGATAAACTGCATTTATAATTTTTTCCTATCCAATCATTATAACTGGTAAAAAAAACTATGGATATGATAAACAATTTGTATATCATAGATTGCATTCAGTGGAAAAAGCAGCTCAGCGAGTGCTTAGTGATTATTGTCCATAATAGGAGCATTCTTTTAGAATCTTCATAGACCCAGGAGTATTTACCAACCAGGAGTGATAATCATTAAGTGCTTCCTGAGCTGCTCTTTCTGCTGAATGTAGTCATTGATATTTAAACCAATATATCATATGTTAATGTATAAATAATTACCTAATTCGTTCTCTTACCAGAAATATGCATCAAACAAAGTTGGTACAGAATCTGGCCTCAAACGTATCCTTTGTTTATGTCCTCCATTGTTAGGATAATATAGACATTCTTTAGAAAAATGTTGGCTACACAAAATGCTGCTCTTGGTTGGGACGAAATCTTTCTTCCCTATTGCCCTAACCCATGCTTGACGCATATCTTTCTTCTTTGGAAACCTAAAATATAAGAGAGTGTAATTACTTCTCCGTAGTGATAATTATTACGATAAGCTATATAATTTATGTATATATATTTTTATAATACATTGATAAACAACGTTACAGATTATAATCACAGGTTCACAGGTTAGGATGTTTACGTACGAATGATAGGATACTCTTTCGTTGCCATCAATTGTGTCGCGATTTTCTCGAAACCCACAAGCGCAACACGTTTTCATCTTCTTTGTATCTTAGGATATTAAACGTCACAACAATAAAAAACATCCCACTGTAAATGCATATAAAATACGCGCGCTACGCACTTACAACATAACACGAGATGACGATCGTCAGATAGATAGATAGATAGGGCGGCTGCCATCCATCCATCTTGTTATGGCCCCGGATAGAATCCATCGCCACCTAGTGAGCAATAGTCGACTAAGGTATCATCTTCATAAAGACCGGGAAGGTTCAAATAGAGATTTTGATGTTCTTCAGAAATTTACTATAATATAATATCAAATACATTCGGGTTTCCAAAAAAGCAAGCTCATGAATGTTCTTTGGGAGGTTGAGTTTGTGTAGATCCTTCAGCAAAATATCCGAGTATTTGTTATATTCAATGCAATCGAAGAAAATACGATTTGCAGGCTAAGAAGTATGCCCGCAAGGGCAAGAACTGTCCATAATAATGCCCTTATCAAATAGATGTTGATTGTATCTTGATTGAATGTGATAGGATCTAAGCCTATTGATGATTACAACATAGGGCGGCTGCGTGCACAAATGAGGTGCGTTCCGAGTTGCGCATGAAACGCGTATTTCCTACAGTATACATAAAGGGTGCTTACGACAGTGAGTTCGGAGCGAGTGAGATTTCGATTCGGACAGAATAGTATATGCTCCCATCTACAACTAATGGCTCCTGCACACAGGACGCGGTAATGCTTGCCGCGCGATGGCCAATCAATATGTTGTTTTTCCGTAAGAGCTAGAAGGTTATTACGGAAAGCAGCATATTGATTGGCTGTCGCGCGAACTTCCGCCGCGCGGCAAGCATTACCGCGTCCTGTGTGCAGAAGCCATAAGGAGTGGCGTATGGAGCAAATCGTACAAACGTCAAGTAGCCAGATATATCTATAGTTTGATACGGGTTTTACTAGCGGTTCTCTATTGCAAAACAAACCTAATGGTTTGAATTTTCATTTAAAAATCGCTTAAGCTGGTGGCACACAGAAAAACTTAGGCTGGTTCTACAATACGTCGTATGTCGCTGTCGGAGTCGGAACGCAGTCGATGAGCCAATCAGAAGGTTTGTTTTTCGAGACAAGTTCTCCTGATTGGACCATTGATTACATCCGATGTCCGACTCCGAATACGACGTATTGTAGAACAGGCCTTAAGCAGTAAACATAAGCAGTAAGCAAATTGACCAATCACAGTCATTGATTCTTCTTACGGCCCAAAAATCAACGACTGTAATTGGTCAATTTGCTTACTGCTTACGTCTTACTGCTTAAGTTTTTCTGTGTGCCACGGCCCTTAAATATTTCGTCAACCGTAGTTCGTCCGTGATACACGTTATAGGTGGATGGACAGAGTATCTACTCTGAGTGATAGAACGGGTTTTCCTATATAATTCGTTATATACAATCACTGTTCGGAGTAATGGCGTAGAGTCACTCGTAGTTAAAGTGTGCTCAGCCAAGCATTGAAACTGAAACTGAAACTCGTTATATACAATCGTGTCCTATACTCGTTCTCAATTTAGCTTCGTAAAGCATTCGCCTTCAGCGAAGCTAGGTCATCTTAACCTGGTTTAGTTTCTGGGTGATGGCAGATATGCCGGCGAACGTAGGTACCACGCGGAAAATGTCCTTCGGCATCAACGGCAAATTAAACGGCATTGAGGGTAAGACACCCTTCCTGATAGGAGTTTCTGGCGGTACTGCGAGTGGAAAGGTATAATTTCTTCCTTATCCATGTATTACAATTTCTGTCAGGCAAAAACTGATTTCGATTAAATTCATATCGGCGGCAGTTCAATGGAACATGCACGATTGCGATATATCTTACAACCATATATATTGAAAACTCGAATCTGTTGTATCTTCGACCTTGAAATTAATTTCTATTTTCTTTTTATATTTAGAAGATTTAAGGTTTCTCTTTTTTATATTCTATAGGAATAAAGGAAATAAAGGAACGTAATTCTAAGGAATAAAGAAATATCACAATGATTAATTTTAATTACACATTAATTATTTGTTATTATTATAGTCCACAGTTTGCAAACGTATAATGGAAAAGCTGGGACAGGTTGATATGGATCATCAGCAGCGCCAGGTGGTCTGCATATCACAAGACAGCTTTTATCGTGATCTAACATCTGCTGAAAAAGTGAAAGCTGAGAAAGGACAGTACAATTTTGATCATCCTGATGCATTTGATAATGATCTGATCTTACAAACACTGCAGGATATATTAGCTGGTGTTAAGTGTGAAATACCAGCTTATGATTACAGGACAAACAGAGTGTATGTAAATTTAGTTTCTTAATTACAATTAATTTTTGCATGAAATAATATCAATATAACAACAATATTAGCAAAAGTAAATAGCAATTTCCAGTTATAACAGTAATCCAGTAGCAATAGTTGCTTTGGAAATTATCCCTTCTGTTAATATAATAAGTAAATATAAACAAATATTATTTGATTAATGATAATTTACCTATACTTATATAGAATGCAAATTCAAAATAAGAATTTTAAAAGTCAAATGTAGTATAATGTGATATTTGTACTTGTTTTAGAATGAAGGATCAACTTACTACAATATATCCTGCTGATGTGGTTCTCTTCGAAGGAATATTGGTATTTTATTTTCCTAAAATCCGAGATCTGTTTCACATGAAATTATTTGTTGATACTGACTCAGATACGAGACTTGCAAGAAGAGGTAATTTCTTATGATACTTTATTGACTTGTTATTCTGTCTCAATACTAATGCTGATCTCTTTAGTGCCAAGAGATATTAAGGAACGTGGGAGAGATCTGGATTACGTCCTAAATCAGTACATGAACTTTGTAAAACCAGCTTTTGAGGAATTTTGTTTACCGACAAAGAAGTTTGCAGATGTTATAATACCGAGAGGAGCAGATAATACAGGTAATATATCATTATTATACAAATTGCGATATTTATTGCAGTTATAATGATTTGACACCTCCTATAGCTTAATTAGAAGTTTTACATATTATTTTTGAGTTCAGTTTTTATTTGCTTCATAAATGTATGATAACAATAACTATTCTTTTTTGTAACAATAGTTTGTAACATTCTTCTATAACATTGTTTTATTTGTTTATTTATGACTTATATTGATATTTAATTAGTATTTGAAATGCTATTTCGCTAGTGATATTAACTAAAAATTAATGTCTCAGATTCTATTTGCTTTTTTCTAAGATTGTCTTTGATATGAGTATAGAATTTTATTATTATTATTACTGGTTACAAATATTCGATATATATACACAGAGTATCCCAAAACAATTTTTACTCTTTTCAACTACAGATATTGGAGAACAAATTAATAATGATTATATATTCTTATGTAACAAAAAAATTAATAATTCAAATTAAAAATAATAAAAGGAGGATTTTTAATATATCAAATTTGAGCAGCTAGAATAGATTTTAAATACTTATTTCTTAATTTTATACACATGAATTTGATTTAATTTCAACTTAAGACTTCATAAAAATGTATTAAAAATGGAAATATATCTTGATCTCTCTATTAGAAAACTTAGGAAGAAATTTTTATAAATATCTGATATTTTTTTTTGTTAATAATGAAGAAAAAAAAATATATATATATATATATTTATTTATAAGAAAGGATTAGTAATAAACATGTAAATTAATAAACATGTAATCAGTAACAGTAATAATACATGACACATACAGTTTATCCAACCTGTAGAAAAATTAAATTTTCTATTGAATGTGTAACAAATAGTGTTGATTATCTAACATTAAGATGCTTTTATTCAGGACTTCATTTATCTAATTATGGCAACAATAATTATAATAATTGGTATAATTATTACAATTATATAATCACAATGCATACAAAACTCGGGTGTACGTGTCACAGTCATTCAGGGATATTTTACATGCTATTTTGGTTTCTTCTTTGTTTTATATATTTTTTTAAGTCGTGTCCACGTAACTATATCTTATGGGTGCTGCCTGGTATGCCGTGGTTGTGGATGTCAGAGCTACACCTATTTAAACTAAGCGAAAAAGCTTAAGAGAGAACACTTCACGGGAAAACCTACATGGTCTGGTTGTATGTTTGCAGTGGCAATAGACCTAATAGTGCACCACATCCGGGATATTTTGCGTTTGAAAAAGGCTGAAAACTCATCCGGGCAGCATCCATTCGTCTATCAACGTAGGCGTACCTCGGCCTCATCAGACACGCTCAGCAGATGACTTAAGCATGATAAGCTCGCTCTGTCAAGCACTGCATTTTTTTCCGCACCACGCTCCAATGTGTGATTCGAGACTACCGATCACACCATGTGTGATTCGTGATTCTACGATATATTTCGCGATTCCTTTTTAATATTAATAGGAAAGTGATGTCCGTTTTTCGATCCTCAGAAATTGACGCACGCACTCTTTTCTTTCGTGATATGTTCACGAATGTTAACGATATTTCCTTTATCGTAATTCAACGTAATTCAACAATTATAAATTACGTATAAAAGGACGTTACACGTTAAAAGGAACGGACATTCGTTTCCCTGCAAACTACTCTAGTATTACGAACTTTTGTATCGAAGAATTATACGTTTGTACTTACATGGCGGAGGATGGTGCTTTTTATTCCGTGTTTTATTCCGAATGAATATCTTTGCGTGAATTAAATTGTAATTTTTAACCATGAAAGAGAAATGCATGAAGTTGCGTGGAGTTCAGCGAAGGATAGGCGAGTTAAATGATGGGAGTACAGTCAGTAAAACTGAGTTTATTTTGAGTTTAGATTTTAATTTTAAAATATTTCCCTTTTTTTCTATTCATAATTTACTACCATTGCTTTATCCTCTTGGTTAAATTGAAAAGTTCTAAAGGTATTCCCAGATTAGAAGATGAATTCAGTTCAATAAGTGTTGATTGATTCGTTTTCACACAGTCATCTGTGCAAATTATATTAGTCAATATATTGCATCGTATAATTATCTACGGTCACGTAAGTTTCATAGCAAACGTCTCAAATATTATGAGAATACGACCTGTGAATAATATGTACGTGTGCAATTGTCTCTGTGATATGTGATTGTGTGTGTGTGTACGTGTATGTATGTATGGGGATTTTTGTCGTGTACGGTTAAACAAGTTACTTTAGATTATGTTTTAGACACATCTGTATAAGGCGTTACTTTCTTTCTGGTCACTCCACCATAATTTACACTTGCATTCTTGCATAATACCTGATATATAACGTACAATGCACATGCAAGGTATTCATAAACGTAATTATCTCTGAGACGTAGTATATCTAGTTTACATTAGATTTATCGTATTTCGGAATATTCGCCTATCGCACTTTATATAGCAACAATTCTCATACTTTAACATGTACAAACGTACAAGGTGCGCCAGAACTGTTATGCAGTAAAACCTCTATATATATATATATATATATATATATATATATGTATATATATAGTTCCTTTCAGCGATTATTTCTTCAAGGGATTTCAAGGGAAGCTTTGTTCAGCATTCTTATATGGGGCCATATTTTTCACAAAATCTATACTGCACATACTTAAAATACTGGTTAAATACTTAAAAGTCTGATGTGAAATCTCTATTAACTTATTCATTATAATCTCTCAATTATCTTTTATTCTTATCGATACATATGTATTAAATACTGATGAGTTCCTGATTTTGAGATAATATCTATTTTCTCAATCTCTATTCTCCATTTTATATCTGTAGTCAACAAAGAGTGTGCTAGTTCTGGGACACCCTGTGTACTCACAATATATAATGGAAAAAAGGCAACAAATATTTCCTCCCTTTCTCTCTTTGTACTTGCGAGTCAGCATATGAACACAAGTGTCTTACGCATAATATAAATTGCACGTAATCATTATGCGATTACAATTGTTACCCAAGATATAATTAGAATAATTAATTTTTACGATTAATACACTATAATTAACTCCGGATATTTACAGGCGATTTGATATTGTTTCCAGATGTATAATAATATTATACATAAATAAAGGAATTTATTTACCCCCCAGTGTATATACGATGTATATCTAATTCGCGATCGCACACTGACGTTTCGTGATCTGTTGCAGTGGCGATAGATCTGATAGTGCAGCACATAAGAGACTTCTTAAGCAACCGGGGTAGGGAAATGGCGGCACCTGAAAGTCCAATAGGCAAGATAGAAGGATTGTTCAAGAGACCGCATTAACGTTCGAGATTTTAGCACGCTTTAGAGTGGCCCGACGAGTCTATGCTTTGTATAATTTCAACGCGCGATTTATTTTTAATTATCCCTATTATATAACTAAAAAATTTTGAGATCAATGTTTTAGAAGGCATTGCTGCCTTGTGTTTCAATATTTGTAGCATTTGCATCTTGCAGTGATATCCAAGTGATAATCATTCGATTACCATATAACTAAAAGCTCTTATATATACATACATGTATATATATGTACATATACATATATATGTATATATATGTATGATATGTATATATAACTATACGAGCATAGAAGGATGTGACTCAAATTTACCAAAGTTGCATAAGCAAGTTATATTCAATAAGACTGTATACATGCCACAAAAAGGTGAAGCAACCCCTTTTAAATCTTTCTTGTTCTTTTAGTACGGCCTACATGTTCTATAGCAGCTTTACTATATTTTTTGAGCTACATCCTGTATATTAACTTATATACAGAGAGCACTAATATCAAATGAGATATATTGTTGCACATAGCATAGAAATTATAAATTTGTAGATACAATTAGGGATTTTTGAATACAGTAATATTTATGAAATGACATATAATAGAGAAATTATATATACATTTTTCTTTTTAACATTTGTGTGATAATTTTTATATATAATCTTTTACTATGTGTTGTTATATCAAGGTGTTATATCAATAGATCATTATATCAAGGTGTCTGTTATAAAAAAACAAAAACAAGATATTTAGTAATTACAACATATTATCATTTAGAATGTTTACCCATGGATTTCATCTTACATAGAATTATTGATAGTAGAGTTCTAAGTTCATGCCATCGTGCACTTCATCTGAGGTAGCATATTAAGGAAAAGATTCTATAATATTTCTTGAACTGTATTATAATTGAATTATATTCTAATAGTAAAGGATACAATCTTGCAGCTTTATATGGTCCTTGAAAATGGTATACCATTTCTTCAACACTATCTTCTCCCAGTGTGTTCCAGTCTGTGCAGCTATCAATTTTTTTAAATCACCTACGGTATCATCTGGATTGCATTTCACTCTGACCTTCTTGCCAAGACGATCGTTACATGTTATTTCTAACATTTTTTATTGTATCAGCCTAAAATTTAAGACTTTAAAACAAACAATATTGTTTAGAACTTTTGTATTATTCTACATAAAACAACAGTTTACTACATTGATATGCATTCCTTTCACAAGTTCATTATTTTATATTTTTTATTTCTATATTATTTTTGTATATTATAAGGCTGCATTAATTTTTAAAAATAAGATATTAAAATATTAAGAATATCACTGCAATAATTTTAGTTGTTTTAAAATTAAATCTCAAATTTGTTTATTCTCATTCTAGTCATTAACTAGACCTAATGTCAACTGGACATGCTTAGGACTTCTGCAAAACTCAGATATTGCTAAGCCAAATAATCACTTACGTTTGTTTAAAGAACGTTGTCACAAATTTTTACTATCTTCCACGAAAAACAAATTGTTTCTTTCTAAAATCTTTTCCCTCTTGAAAGAAATTATCAACACGCACAACTACTTGCGTTTTTAAGGTTAATAGCGTCAATAGCGGCTTATAACAGCGTTTATAGGAATTAATAAAAGTTCACCCTAGCAAATCAAATATACTCCTTGGAAATAGAAAGTTCGTCTGATCTGTTATCGAGTTGTATCACCGAAAATATTCTGACTTATCGTTGATACATACTATTTAGGCTGCGTTCCGAATTGCGCTGACAGTAGGTTTGTTCTTTCGACCTGACCTAGGGCTGCACTGGAACTGTACTAGTTGAAAAAAGTTCAAGATAGTGCAGACCAGTGCAAAGATACATATGGGTCTGAAAAGAACGGGTAAGAGCAAGTTAGAGCAGTGTAAGATGGCGGATAACATGGCTGGATTAAATAACATAGATCAATTTATGGTCATGTTTTCACACTTATAGCATTTTATGTTTTGTTGAACAATCCTATTTCTTTTAAAAACTGTTTTGTGTTGGATACCCATACAACAAATCCCTCCGAAAAAACGTCCAAGAGCCTTCCCAGGATGTCTTTCGGATATTTTGTGCTGTTTGGATAACATTCTAAATACTTCTTTTATGTCATTCTACATTATATATTTATTATATATTTATCTACATTATATATTTATTATATATTTAAGTATTTATTTACTGTTTATAGATTCCGTCGTCGGATTATTTCTTCTACGTAATGTCAACTAGGTATACCGATTTTAC